TATTTTTTTTATAATTGTAAAATAAAAGCAAATAATAATATATTAATTAAATAAATATTATATTAATATTAATATAATTTTAACACAATTATATTCAAAAAAAAAAAAATAGAGAATATTTTTTAACAAATGTAAAATAAAAGAAAACAATAATTGTCTTATTATTTATAATAAAGGGGGGGAAAAAAAAAGAAAACTCATGCTTACCTCCACCATTCTGTTGGCACAGATAAGGAAACCTCCAAATATTTCCAAGCCCGACACTATAACCAATGATGCTAAGAAAGAATTGCATTTTCCCGCTCCATGCAGCTCTGTTATCTTCCGGTCTTGGTTCTGGATTGACATTAGTTGCATTTTGATTTCCGGAAACGACAATGGTAACATTGTGTGGTGGTTGTTGACGATCATCGTTTAGAGGAGCCAGCTCGTGACCGTTCCTCGTGTTTTCTGATTTCACGACCATTCTTCTTTTTTTTCTTCTTTGTTTTTTTCCTTCTTCTTCTTCTTCTTCTTCTTTTTAATTTATTTATAACTTTTTAACAAAAGTTATTATCCCACCTTCTTTTCTCTATTTTTTTTTAATTATCAATTCCCGTGTATACTTTTTCTTGTTTTTTTGTTTCTATTCCTCTTCCTCCCCCCACTCTTCTTCTTCTTCTTCTTTCTCTCTTTTATTTTTTTTTTTTTTTTATTTTATTATATTATTTATCCGCGAGCTTATAGTTTCGTGACGAGGAACTTTTCATTCGAATTTTCAGCACACGATGTATTTGTTTTTATATTTTTATCAGCAACACCGTCAAAATTGTTTCCCAAATCCTCCAGGAAGAGTGGGCGGATGGGTGTGGGAGTTTTTTTTTTTTATAATAATAATAATAACAACAATTGCAGAGATATATAACAATAACAATATTAACAAACTTTCCTTAAATCTTGTTTCTTCTTCTTTTTATTCTTCTTTTTTCGGTATATTTTCTATTCTCTTCTTTCTTTTCTCACGTTTTATTTTTTAATATATAATATATAGATTATTATTATTATTATTATTATTATTAATAATAAATATTTAATTGTTGTTTATCGTAGAAATGTATTACGACAATTGTATGGAAAGTTTGTGATACGATCTATGGGAAGCATCATCATTGTTATTGAATATTATTTTAATAATTAAACAAAATAAAATTCAATTAATCATTCTCTACGAACAAAATCGTCTCAAAACAACAACAACAAATTTCGTTGTTGAAGAATAAGTGTTGCCAAACTTGACACGATAAGGATGATAAGAAGAAGATTAAGAACAAAAATGAAAACAGAAAAAAGTATGGGAATGGTGGTACGTAGGATGAAATTATAATTTCAATTAAATATATCAATAATTGTTCATATTGTTCAAAAATAATAACGCGCACAATTTTCTATGATTTTTTATTTTCTTCTTCTTCTGTCTTTTTTACTGGTCTCCCTCCTTCAGAAATTAAAGCACTTGGAAAAAATAATTCTTCATCGAATTTAAATTTAAAATAGTCTTCGTTATTTAGATAGAAAATGAATAAAATAAGTGTTGTGTTTTATTTAAATAATTATATCGATTAATCGTCACGCGCACAACACACAAATAATACACAAATAAAAGAGAGAGAGAAATAATAACGCGTGTTCGTGATACAATAAGGGAACGAAGATGATGCACGTTTAGAAAAATAAACCAACCCAACCAATTCTTTTTTTTATTTATCTCTTTTTTTCTTTCGTATTATTATATCAATCTTAATATTTCTTGCTCTCTCTCTCTCTCTCTCTCTCTCTCTCTCTCTCTCTCTCTCTCTCTTTCTTATACTTGATAAGATCTTTCTTTAGTTATATATAGTATCTCACAAACGTATCAATTCAGGTTCTCTCATTCATTATTCATTCATTAAATATCACACGTTATTTATCCTTCCTTCCTTTTTCTAATTTGAATTAATTGAATTTTTCTTAATTATCCACAACCTTTCCCTTTCTCTCTCTCTCTCTCTCTATTTCTCTTTCTTTCTTTCTGTGTGTGTATAATATATTCAAGTTACTTAAACTTGATACTTTTTAAATTGCGATTAGAACAATCGTCAATTTGATAGCGTGCTGTAATTCGCACGAATGTAGAACCCATGTATACTGTTTAACACCAACCCTTTGTTAGATGATTTATGATTATTTAATCAAGCCCTTATTGGCTATTCAAAAATAGATCATCCCTTCTTCTTTTCAAAATGTATCTTCTTCTTCTTCTTTCTTCAAATTCTCACGTTATTGTGATAATATTAATCAGAAAACGTGAACAGTTGATTGATTCGTTTGGTGAGTGTTGGGGTTGGTAGATGTTATGGTGGTTATATAGAAATAATTGATATATAAGATCGACCAAAAAAGAAAAAAATTAATCAAAAAATCACAATAATCAATTGTATTAATATCACTAACGAATTAAAAAGGTATACCTTGACGTTAGTTCGAGGTAAAATGTGTGAGCTCGACGAACGACGATATTGGACTGAGCCTTGAGGGGGAACCATCACGTACATTGCTTGAGTTTATGTATGTATGTATGCGTGTATGTGTTAGTCAGTTGCTCTTGTGTGCATCGACAGTGATGCGAGTGCGCGAAACATTCTCTCTCTCTCTCTCTCTCTCTCTCTCTCTCTCTCTCTCTCTCTCTCTCTCTTTCTCTCTCTTTCTTTCTTTCTGCGAGGGAGAGCTGCTCAACAGAACAGCACACTGGATACTTTTCCTACTTCAGCAACCATATTCAACCTAGGAACCCTATCTTTCTCTTTCTATCTTTACTTTCATGTATTCTCACACACACACACTATCATACTTTCATACTTTCATATATATATATATATATGCTGCTATCCTTTTCTTATTATTTATTTCTTCTTCTTCTTCTTCTTCTTCTTCTTCTTATTTTTCTTATTCTTTTCCTTTTTGTTTCTTTTTCTTTCATTCACACACATATACACATTCGTACAATTTCGATTGTACGACCAATACTACGATTGGTCCAACTAATTATATACGTATTTTAAGCCCTTTTTTACTATTCTTTTTTTTTTTCTTTACCTATTCTTTCTATTCCCCTTCTTGTCCATGCTCCCCCCCCCGGCCCCCACCATCCCGATCCCGTTGCTTTCTATTCAATTCTATTTCTTTCTAATTTTTTTTTCTCGCGTCCAGAAGGAAAGGGTTAAGACTGTGGGTTAGGGGTGGGGTGGGGGGTTGGTTGGTTGTTCGTAACAGGATTTAACCGGATTTTTAATCTGAATTTTGTTAATAGATTATACAAGCATTTTGGCAATTGTTTTCTCTCTTTTTTTCTTTCTTTCGATCAATGATATTTTGTCTTGTGGATTAATTTTTTTTACAGATTCTTATTTAATTTATTTATTTTTTTCTTTTGGACAGGAATTGTTTAAGACAAAATTGAATTATTTTTTAGTTGAAATTAAAATGAAGACTGATAGGGGGTAATGGGTGTAAAAAAAAAAAATAATAAATAAGTGTTCATTAGTTATGATATAATTATGATAATGTGTGTTGAATTTATTATCATTAAATTGTATTTTATTTGCAAATGTTAATAACACGAGTTTAGATTGGTATTTTGAAGGTTTTGTGCGCGTGTGCTTCCATCTTCCTTGATACCGACTGGTTGGTTGGTTGGGTTCGTCGTATCGATCGTTGAAACATTTCTACCTACAACAACCTCTTCCACCATACCTCCTCTTACTTCTTTTACAATCATTCTTTTACGTAAAACACGAGATGACCCTTTTCTTTTCTTCTTCTTTTTTTTTTTTTATTCTATTTTTCTTTCTTTTATTTGTTTTCTCAACGAAGAAAATAATCTTAAATATAATTTTATATAAATATATTAACGTCAGGGTTGATTTATTATTAACATTAAACTTTGATAATAATAATCTTTCGATATTTTTTCTTTTCAAAATATATTTCTTTACCATTTTATTTTTTTCCGATTTACAATCAATTTATTCATGCGTTCGTATATTGTAAAAATTACTTTTTTTTACTCCTCTATTTTTCTTCCTCTTCTTTATGTTTCTTTTTTTTTTTTTTTTTTTTTTTTTGTATTTGTTAATATAAAAGGGTTTTTTCTTTTTTTATTCTATTTTTATTTTTTAATGTGTTTTCAACGAAGAAAATAATCTTAAATATAATTATACATAAATATATTCACGTCAGGGTTGATTTATTATTAACATTAAACTTTGATAATAATAATTTTTAGATATTTTTTCTTTTCTCAAATATATTTCTTTACCATTTTATTTTTTTCCGATTTACAATCAATTTATTCATACGTTTGTACATTGTAAAAATTCCTTTTTTTTTTTACTCCCCTTCCTTCTATTTTTCTTCCTCTTCTTTATGTTTCTTTATTTTGTTTTCGTTAATATAAAAGGGAAGATGATATATTGAAGAGGGGAGAAAAGATTGAGAAAAGAAAAATGCATAATGCAATATTACGTATAAACCAAAAGTGCATTTATTACGTAGGTAGAAGCATATCAATTCGATTGTTATATTTTCTCTCATTTTTTTCTTTTTTTTTCACGACGAGACAAAGCGACGATGATAAATATATTTTTTTTTATTTCTTTTTTTTATAATTTTTTATTAGCCAAAAAATGGAAAAGCAAAATAATGCATCATCGCGTTTTTTTTCTACGCGTACGTAACATTTTAAGTTAACGGATAATTTAAAAAGAGAAAGAAAAAAAACGAAACAAAATTGATTCTCTTTCTCGTGTACGTAATAAGAATAAATGTTGGATAACTTTTGAGAAATTTTTTATGTGAACAATACTTGATAGAATAATAATAATAATAATAATAATAAAAAAAAAACCTTAATATTTCTCAAAAGTGCATTCAAATATTTTCATTCATTCAACGTGATTGCAAATTAATTTGATCAAATAAAACGATCATTATTATTATCCTTTGTGTGTTACGTTTGTTTCGTTTTTTCTTTTTTTTTTTTGTTCTTGTTTTAAAGAAAAAAAATTGAATAAATAAGAAAAAGAAAAAGAAAGTGTAAATGTGAAAATGTAAATGTAAATGTGGATAGAAAAGAATTATTAGAAGAGTGCATAATGTAATATTTGGAATGTATTGAAAAAAAAGGAAAAAAAACAACAACAACAAAAAAAGAAGAAGAAAAAGAATCTAACTACGTAACGAATTATGTCGATTAGAATTTTTTTTTTGTATTCGATGAAAATCGTAACGTCCTCGTAAGATTTCTTCTTCCTCGTTTCGCCAACGCGGAAATGCATCGCGTGCACACTGATTTTCAATTCAGTAACGTAAGTTCTAAATAAGTAGTAGGAATGATGTAGGTTGCACATCTATCTGGTAATATATCCATTGGACCAAATAGATTCGTTCTGATATTATATAGGTCAAGAGAACACAGATTGCACCCAAATAAAACTTGACGATACTTCAAATATTTTACAAACTTTCCATCCAATTCTCATCACGTAATCTCAAACATTTAACGCAAAACTTAACAAACAATTTAGTATTATTTCCAAAAATTTAAACTCATATAATTTATCATCTATTTAAATAATATTAATATTTATTTATATTGTAAAGGAATAACAATTTAAAAAAAAAAAAAAAGAAAAAAAGGAAGAGAAGAAATAGGAAAATTACTTTTTGTAATTTTACGCGCAAT